CTCCAACGGCCAAAGCTGATTGACCAAACAACAGGCCCTCCATGCTGTCCAACCGAAGACCTCTGGTGAAAAAGCAAACCATAGGAACTATAGAATGCAGTCTGGACATGTCTGGATTTTGCCTGTCTCATTATTGATATATATATATATATATCAATCTCAGCCAAATGCTGCAGGAACCAAAATAACATTTCAACACTGGGAGAATCCTTTGGGGGCCCCGGACATTTCCGGAAAAGTACAAGCTCACCAGCGGTTTCCGACCCCAGAAATGACAAATGCTGGTAGGTTTATTTACAGATTCGGAGGTATTGCTGCATTCAGCTCTCTTGCACGTATCCTGGGATCATTTGCGCAGTACAATACAAGTTCTTGCTTGCCTCGGCCTGAGTCGTTTTTGTGGACAGCTCATTGTCAAGGCACTCCCCACCGCCGTGATGGCCGCGGGAAGCATTTAAATCAGCAACCGCTTGGTCCAGCCAAACTGTGGCTTGCCAGCTCCCATGGAACTCTCACCCGTCAAGTGTCGTTCAACTCAAGAGTCGGTACATCTCTGATCTCCAGCGCCGGGTCTTCCGGCGACCTTTGGTGAAACGATGTGAAAAGAGTTTGGGCAAATGTCTGAAGAGCCTCTGAACAACCAGCTGGGAATGTTGCATCCAGCAAAAAAATGGTGCTCCGGCATCCGGCTATGTACAAGTTCCAGTGCTTCTTCATCCTGTGACAACTTTGACCATGCTTCGTCATGTCTCCTTCAGCTCCGCAATCTTCTTCGTGCTCTCTTGGCCACTTGTGCTCCTTTGAGTCCTTTGAGCATCCTCACCCCCCCTACTTTCTGCCATGCCAGCGCGGTTTGTTGAAAACCTGACACCGTCCAGCAGCTACTTCCCCTGCTATCGTGTTCAAGTCCTCTCCAGTGTCTTCCAGTGCGAATCCCTCTCCATGTCTCTCCATTGAAAACCCGTGGCGTTCAGCTTGCACTTCCCTGTTCTCTCCTTCTCTCGTGTGGCCAGGCCGGCCAAACCTCTTGACCATGTCATCCGAATGAGGTTCGTTTCGCACCATGGACATTGTCAAAAGAAGGAGAAACAAGAAACAACAAGGAACAAAGGGCATCGCTACTGGTATGGCATCGCAGCGGTGGTCGCCTAGCTGATTCCATCGGCCCAGCGGTGGTCGCGTGGCACCTGACATTGGCCTTCGCCATCTGCGCCGAAGGCCAGGACCCGTCCGTCGCTCCTCTCGGTCCCAAGCAGCGAAAAGGAGGTCCACAATGTGGAGAACCGCACCGCGATGTGGGTTAACAAGGAGTGGCTTTCAGCAAACTTGGAGTTCCCATGTTACTTTTTGCCCAAGGAGTTGTTTGGGTAGCTTATGGTAGCTTGGGTGTTGCTGATACTGAAACAAGGTGTGAACTATGGGAACTCGCTGTGTGGTTCTCCATAAGCCTCAGCGTTGTATCTGCTGCAGCTTGACTTCAAAGCCTGAACTCTGGAATATCACGAGAAATAGACCATACTATACATATTTATACAATTTGGGATGTGGAAATGCCAATCTTGTTTTGAACAGCGAAGCTTCTTCCTTTGGAACCGTCGAAATCGTTCACCTTGGCACCTGGGGGAAAATTTGCTGCGAGCTTCTTGCTATCAAAAGATCTCACCACCTCGAGAACTCATCTCTCTTGGAGGCTAAATCAATCTAAATCATTCTTTTGATAGGAGAAGGCGCACAAGTCAATTGGCCAGTGCAAGAAACCTCTGGCACGCCCAGCCAACATCTCATATTGCTCCCATTCCCACCAGTCAAATCAGCTAGCCACTGCAGCACTACACTACCTCAGCCACCCATCCGTGATAATGCAAACCCCCAAAGAAAGACTAACCATGGGAAACTGGGAAACCTGTAGCCTACAAAGAAGGCCTCCCTCACCTGCCCCACCCAACTCCTTAAGAGCAAAGTATGTGAGCCACCCGCAGCAACTGCTTCGTATTTCAGACCAGGTGGTAGCGGTGGAACCTCCACGACTAATCGGACGCGCTTTCGAACCACGTGATCCAACTGGGTGGCATGAGCCAAGGCGTTCTGAAGCAGAACATCTCCCCAAATGACCTCTCTTAGACATTGAGCGGCTGCGTGTAGGTTCAGGTGTGTAGCTGGTTCAAGTAGTTGTCCTCGTCAAAACTCTGATGCACAGCTTGCCTGAATGAGTGTTTGCCACAGCTCAAACTCATCCGTGCTTGCTCTCCTTCCTCCCCCCCAAGACAAACAAACAAACACACATACACACAATTGGTGGTCATCTCCTTTGCTCCAGCATTTGGTCTTTTTAGACGCGTATTGCATTGACATTGGGTTCCCCCATTCTGCCCGCAACGAGAAATAGTTGCCATGATATTGTCATTTCTGTCAGTTGAACCACCTTCTTGGAGCCAAATTCAGCCAACATATGTTTGGAATTGTCTAGGAGGGTTTCCCTCTTCTATATTTTTATGGGTTCGCCCAACGGCCCAACCCTCCATCTCTCACGCCTGGCACTGTCCATGCTGATCTTCGCCAGCCGCCCAAACCAAACCATTCTCGGCCAGCAGCACGGTGTGGTTCTCGCCGCAAGCAACCGCTCTGTAGCGGCCGTCGCTGGGCAAATCACATTGACCATGGAAGTTCCAGCCGAAGGCAACGGCCTGTGGCAGGGATCAATGTTCACATATTCATACAAAGCCATGCATTCCCTTAAATAAGCAGTTGCCCCTTGTAGGAACACACACATGCACATGCACACATTTAGCTTCCACTCATTGGAAGTGATATATTTGGACTTCACCCTACGAATCGAAGACCTGTCTGATTTCGCTGATCTGACCATCGCTACGGGTCCCACCTTCCCATCATTGCGCAAAAGCACCGAATGTCGACCGCCAGCGGCGCAGGCCACGTACTTCAGTGGCAAGGAAGTCGCACTGGTCACAACGAGAGCCAGGTCCTCAGCCCCAAGGTCGGTAGTTCCCCGTGCAGGATTCAATGACATCTAGTAGCATTCTTGCTCCTGGTAGTATTGCCAGGAGCCCCTAGCAACGTCCTTGCTCCTAGTGGCGATGCCAGGAGCCCCTAGTAGCATTCTTGCTCCTAGTCCATTCATGTCATGCAAACATTGCCAAAGCCTTGTAGCCAAAGTTATGGAGCAAAGTATGATGCTTAACTTGATCTTTGGACCTTGGGACGAAAGCTTTCATCTGTAAGAATCAGTAAACATCACAAGTCACTACAACAGAGTCAGCTTCGTCATTCCCCCCAAGAAGTTCCAGGCATGACGTCATGAGGGCTGGGCTGATCAAAAGGCCACATCGCACTTACTTGCTCCTGCCCAGCCTGGAAAGCGGTTTCCACCCACAACCCATCACCAACCCACGCTCACCAAACCAGCATCTAAGGCCACGTCCTCCCCCAGCCCTTCCCAAGCTCCACGCGTCTGGCGCTGCCGTTTGGCCATCCTCGTGGGCACCACACGCGTCCACATGGCGGCCGCCTTGGCGCAGCGCCAAGGTGTGCGATCGGCCCGCAGCGATGGCCATGTAGGGTCCCTGTGGAAAAGGGAGGTCGCACTGGCCTCGGTGCCCAAGGTCATGTGAGAAAGACTTGGAACCAAAGCTTCACTTGGAACCAAGGAATGTGTCTGACAAATCAAATCCATCTCAATCCGCTGGTATAACAAAAGGTGAAACGTCTCCTTTTGTGGCACGGACTGAAAAAGGAACACCCTTGGAAAGTTCTGCAGGCGTGGACAACGAGATGTTTGGGGACCGCCCTCAGGCAAGGCCCTCGACTGCAAAATGGCCAACACCAAATGGGTTGGCATGTGCCCGCAAAGAACTGATCGACGCGGATTGCAGAAACAAGATGAAACAAGTGCCGGAAAAAGAAGTGACTTGATGCACGAAAGGGAGGTGATATCCTGTCCATTCAGTGAGTAACGCAGGTCACATCCTATTCCAGCAGCTTGTGCAAACCATTGCATGCCCATGCATATATCATCACATCTTAATGTGATAGCTACCCCGCAGTCAAAGGACCCAAACATGCAATGATCCTTATGATTAAAGCGTCGAGTAAGGCTGCAGCACTGAGGAGGGCACCCTTTTTGGGGCGGTCGGGGGCGCCAATCACTGAACAAATGATGATTAGCATGCAACATCTACTCCTTTGATGACATGAGCCAGCCTACGAGAGTGTCTCTCCTGAACATGGCGGAGCGCAAAACAGTTTTAAGCAAGTCTCCCTGCCAAAGCCAGCTGCATGGAAAGCTTAAGCACCAATGGGCCAATGGGTGAGAAACACATTTTATAACAGTTTGTGCAACACTACGTCCGATCAATTGTAAATCAAGCTGCCCTTGTCAATCACTGTTCGACTATGTTCAATGCCGCAACAACGGCATCTTTTAGGGCCCAAGCCATGAGCATTGCACCCGAAGGCTAGGCATTGCCCGGAATCCTCGAGCAACACCGAGTGGAAGCCGCCAGCGGCCACTGCCACAATGGGCCTCAAGGCATGGGACGGTGATCCATCGCCTGTGCATCTTTTCATCTGCATCTTTCATCTTTCTCAAGTCTGGGCTTGTACCCCACAATCGAGTACCTGGAACTTTTTCGATAGGATCTGCAGGTTGCTCTAACCGAGCGGCAGCTCACAAGCCGGAATGGCTGTCTGGCCATCCAAATTGAGTCCACAAGCTGCCACTCTACCATCACTGCGCAGCAGGAGGGTGTGTTGCACCCCGCAAGCACTTGCAACATACCTTGGTCCAAAGGTTTAACAAGAGATATGACGTGCCTCCGAAAGAAGATTGCAGGACTGACCTCATCATGCCCTCTCAAGTCAGGATGTGCCAGCCGCGGTGTGTAACAGTTATATACGGTAAAACAGTTAGGCGGACTCGCCCTGGACTCAATCCTATTCATTCGGGTTTGGGAAACAGTTAGCTACGAACCCTTTGCGTGGAGGAAATCATCTCAGCCTCCAACTCATGTGGATCAGTGGATCAAGATTTTTGGGTCCTTAAAGGAAGTGTGAGAAACACTTTCTTATGCATATTGCTGTAGCAGTGATGGAGGGGAGGGCGGTGCCACGAAGTAAAGAAGTTGCTGGCTCCTTGAGGTTTCGCATATATAGGGCACCTAGGAACAAGTGCCACGCTAGTAGTAACAGGTGCCTTACTAGTAGTAACAAGAAGCTACTAGGAACAAGTGCATCGCTACTAGTAACAAGAATCGCATAGTGTGACCGCCCGTGGGGGGTCGGACCCGCCGAGCCACCGGACACCTTCCGGCAGCGGAGGAAGCGTGGATTCGCCCGCGCCGTTCAGGCCCACCGCCACGGCGCCAGTTCGGTGCAAGAGCACGGAATGGTAACGCCCTGCGATGGGGTACTAAGCAAATTCAACATGGCTTCAGGTCTGGAAACTGGGAGAAGCAAAGTATAAATATTATGACATATGTGTTTTTGACATTAAACCGTATTAAACCTACTAGCGATGGCCTCCAACCTAAGAACAATGAGATTCAAGGTGGCTTCAGGTCCGGAAGCTGGGAGATGAAGATCCCAGCTTCTTGCTGTATACCTAAATGAAAGTCATATTATGCAAAAACACCGCAAGGTGAATGCGGATGCTTATTGAGATTGCAAGGGAAGGTTCTGCAATGCCAAAAAGGTTCCCATAGGAAAAACAGTGAACACAGCAGCATTTAAAAAAAAACAAACAATCAATCTGCATTTATTTGGACTATCTGGCGTGGTCTCTCCCTTAGCAGCTCGATGTTCAATTGAAGAAGGGCTTGATCCTCACCCTCATGCCTCACTCTCTGCAAGCATCTTTCTTTGCTACGACAAAAGTGCCCCATCATTCACACATCACCTCGTTCCAAACGATCCCTGGAAATTCCACTCTCTCTGCAACGAAAAATGCAGTTTCACTCTGCATCACTTCGTCATTGACCGATTCAAGGATTAAATTGAACAAACCCGAACCCGAACTGCCAAACTGCCTTTCGACCAATCTCCAGCCGCCTGCCTGCGCTGAGGCTTCCTTCCAGCCACCCCTGGTGCCAGCGCTGCAACCACCTTCCGCAGGCCGCACCCAGCGCGGCGCCGTGCCGCGACCGACGACCCCGCAGCAGCTGGGCGCAGCTGCGGAGTTCGGCGGGGCGGGAGGTCTGGAGGAAGTCCTGAGGCCCAAATGCCAGTTTCCCCCTCGGGTTTTTAGTTTCTCTTCGTTTGGAACATCAAACGGGAGATGAAAGGACGCGAGAAGTGTGGGAAACACCGCCAGCTTTTATCGGTCCAACTTCTTTGCCATGTGCCTGAAGAAGCCTCTCCAGCATGGCCATGGGTACATCAGCAAGCTCTGCCACCTTCACCACTTGGGTCCATTCCTCCAATCCAGCAACACGTCCTGCAATGAAGGGGCTAACTCTCAGAAGCTCTGGATTCACTACCAGGCAGGAGAAGCTCTTGTAACATCTTGTACCAAATGCGGGCGAAATCGCACGAAGGTATTGGACCGCCATGAGTTATGAAGAATTGATACTTGCCGTTTTTGAACGGCGCCCTTGCTTTTGTTGGCGAAGGCACATCCAAAGACCACGCAAACTCAAACACCACGTCAGTCCTTCCATCTTCTCAAAGAAGCCTCGCACCAGCGCAAAAAAAATAGTATTTTGGGCAAACCTTGTCAATTGAGAATCTCGAAGTTGGGTTCTCTCCAAAGGAAGATCACGTCAACAAAGAAGCCACATGGTGGATCGGTGGACCACACCCCTACTGATGAAAGGTTTGGCACTTTGTCTTGTGCAAGTCTCAGTATCATGAGAAGCGGGCACACAACAAACCCAGTACTTATATACCATTTTGATTACACCTGTGTCATGTAAGCGGTATTCGAACACCTCAGCATATCAAACCGGAAGCCTGGCCTGTAAGCACTTATGGGATCTTGACCCATGTCATGCTCCTCGCCCAAGGAAATGAGGTGCATCGAACCCCAAAAAAGCTTCAACAAGTTGGTTATAATTATTGCCACTGATAGGGTAACATGAGGCTGTGGTGTCATCTATCCATGTCTCACATGTTGTCGATCTCTCTGCCGTATCCACTTCAGGATCTTTGCACGGCGAAATTGCTAAGAGATTTGAAGGATAGGCCTTTCGAAACCGTGATGAAGGCAAGAAGCGCTGAGCCATGGGCCACTTGATCTCTGGCTCCAAAGCAGCAGCACAGTGCAGGGTGAGCAGAAGCTCAGGGTAGCTGAAGTCTTTGATTTTCAGCTCCTTCGGGAGTGGCTCATGGACGACTTTGATCTCTTTCTGAACCCCTTGCCTTCACTGACTGGCATACCCCAGCATCTAGCAAACAGGTTCCAAGGTCCTTCGAACCCCTTCCAAGATCTTCCAATGTCAAGCTGCACTCAAGATCCAACTAAGGACCGGGTTCTTCAACCACTACTCTCACTGGCAGGTTGGAGGCCATCGCTAGTAGGTTCTTCCTACTCCAGGCTTCGCAGGAACTCCTCCAGCCGCACCAGCGCCTGAGCCGTGGTCACCAGCGCCGTGTCCAGTGGCTGGTGTTCGGCGGGGCCCAACGAGGTGCACAGCGAGACCAAACGAGGCAACTGCGCGCTGGGCTTGCTGGGCGGCTGATGCTCCTCCAAGCGAATGGTGTGGACAAGCGGCTGATGTGTTGGAATCGGGTGGGCCCCATCTGTTCTGAACCTCTAAACCTAGTCTACCGACTCCCTGCTGAAACAAACAAAGCCGGATGGAACCAACAATCAGATGTGGCCTGGGACGGGGGTTGAAATCGTATGGTGACATGGTTGCAAAAGGCTTCAAGGCTTCAAGTTACAATCGTGAGCTGGAATACTACAGTAATTCTCGTGGACTTAGTGTCTTGAGTGAATTCGTTGAGAATGCTGTCTGGAGCAAAGCTTGCCTTGATTGAGGCATGTGAGCTGCCATAATGAATGGGCATAATCTTGGGTACACGAAGGGGCTAAGAACACGGTGAGACAAACAAATGAAGCTATACTTATTCACTCCCTCTCTCGCTCGCTGACTGGCTGACTGGCTGACTGGCTGACTGGCTGATTGGCTGATTGGCTGATTGGCTGATTGGCTGACTGACTGACTGACTGACTGACTGACTGACTGACTGACTGACTG